ATTCTCTCTTCCATCTATTGTACTATGTTGTTTATACTTGCATTTGTGGTTCCTGATCATTTTCTCATAATTTCCATTTCTATAATTCCCTCAGATTGTGTTCTCTTTATTGTCTCTATTTCAGTTTTCAAGTCTTAAATTGTTTCCTTCATCTGATTTCTTTTTCTTGATTTTCTTCAAGGGATTTGTTGATTTCTTCCAATTTTTTATTGGTCTTTTCCTCCATTTCTTTGAGGGAATTTTAAATTTCCTCTTTAAGGGCCTCAAATATTCTCCTATACTCATTTTTAGGTCATTTTCTCCTGCTTCATCTATTTGAGTGTTCAGGTCTTGATTTTGTAGGGCCACTAGTTTTGTTGGTGTCATATTGCTCTATGTGGTACTGAGTGTGTTCTTACCATGTCTACCCATTGTTTCCTCTGATTGGTGTAGTTGGGGTTGTGATTCTGGTGATCAATCTTCCAGGTGCCAGTGGGTCCAAGGCTCAGATGGTTGCTCATCATGGTGCAGTCAGGCAGTCACCCCAGAGGTCACTCAGTGTTCACAGAGATCACTCAGCACTCCTAGGGGTCACTCTGCAATCCCTGGGGTCATTTGGCCCTGCTTCCATGGAGGTTGCTTATTTGGGGCTGCTTCCACTGAGATGCTGCCTTGGGCTTGCTCCAGCAGAGGTCACTGTCTCAGGCCTGCTTCCTTTGTGGTGGCTCCCCTGTATCTGCCCCTATGGAGGTCATTCCCTTGGCCTGCTCCAGAGGAAGTCACTGGCTCCAGCTGCTCCTGTAAAGGTTGTTGCTGCTGCTTCAGGCCTGCTTAGGCTGAGGTAGCTGGTTCAGGCCTGTTCCCACAGATATCCCTGTCTTGGGCCTGCTCCTGCGGAGGTTCCTGGCTTGGGTCTGGTCCTGCAGAGGTCTCTGGCTTCGGTGTGCTTTCTCAGAGGTCCCTGACTTGTTGCTTGTCTGCAGAGGTCTCTGGCTCAGCTCTGCTCCCTCAGCAGTAGCTGCCTTGTATCTGCTCCTATGGAGGTTGTTGGCTCGGGCCTGCTCTGACTGAGGTCGCTGGCTCAGTTCTGTTTCCACAGATGTCCCTGACTCATGCCCAGTCCCACAGAGGTCTCTAAAATATCGATATTTGTTAGGGGACATAATGCTATATTTTGGTATTTTCATAATCTTGTAAAATATTGTCATTTACTTTCTGATGGCCATCAAACTTTTCATCTGCACGTAGTTGAGTTTTCTAATCTATAGCCCAACACAGAGCTCAAAATTAGTACCCCCTTTGCTCTAGCTGTGTTCTAGACACAATTCTGAGTGTTTTTTCATTAACCCTCCCAAAATCCAAACAAGTGATTCCTATTATTTGTTTCAAGGTAAGAATACTGAATGGCACAACATTGTTCCACATAAAGATTATACATGATTATTTTAAAGTTGATTAGACTCTGATAGAATATCTTAGTAGAACAGTTTAAAATAGTGTTGAACCTTTTAAATTGTTTTGGTGATGTGTAGCTTGGTTTTCTACACATTATTTGTACATGCCAGTGAGTGTGCTCATCTCTCTTGCTGTGATAAGAAAGTCAGAGAGATACATGACTACAAGTTGATGTTAAATGTTGTAAATCCTTAAGCACTTTAAATTTATTTTTGCTAAGATGGATAGCCCTTTGGCTTTTTTTTTTTAAAAGTTTTTATTACCAGGAAAAGGCAGTTATTGCAAAGTGTCTGGCGACTTTTATGGGATTTCTTATAGCTTTGAAATAATGCTTTATTGGAGTGAAATTACCAACTAGTACTTTTGCAAATGGAAGAACTTCCTTCCGATAAGATATGAGAATGATAACCAATTCCATGTCTAGTTCTCTTGGACTGTGGTAAAGAGGACAGGGAGGCCGGAATTTAAATATTTGTGAATTTCCTTTTGTTCAAGTGGCTGTCTTTATAAGGGTAAACACTACATCACTTTTACTGGAAACCAAAAGCTTTCAAGGGTTTTAAGATGTATTCTTAAAATGATATCTCAGCTAGTCACCTTAATTTAAAATTAAATTCCCTTTAGCAGAGTGAATTACTTCTGAGCTATGTTGACACAGGTCCCTGGAGACAAGGCACTGGTTTCTCAAGAAGATGACAATGCAGTTCTTAGTCACAGTACTGTTTCTTTACTCCATTTTTCTATTTCATGATTTTTCTTTCTTCTACTTTTATTCATGCATGAGTACGGGGCTTATATCATTCCCAACCCACATTCACCTTCCCTTCAACTCTTCCCATTCCCCTCTCCCACCCCTCTCAACTTTATAGCTTCATATTTAATTATTATTGTTATATAATCATATATGTATGAATATAACACAATAGGTCCATTTAGTTTTGCCCAACCGTACCTGTGGTTAGGCCTGACCATTTTGGATTAGAGAACCTATCAGAGCCTGTCTCTGGAGAATACAGATTCTCTCTTTCTTAGAAGCTATTAATTGCTGATAGATCTTCATCTGAGAGTAGGGCTTTGTGAGCTTTCTTTCATCGGGGTGTCAACTGATGCTGTTATTGTGCAGGTCCTTTAAGACACCATTTTGTTGAGATTTCATGGGCGCAGCTCCCTGTAATATGTAGATGACAAATACCTTGTAGCTGATGTTCTAGTCCTCTGAACCTGTCTACCCCCTCTTCCAAGGTGTTTTCTGTGCCTTCGCTGTAGGGCTTGTGTTGTGGACGCATTAGTTGGGAATGAGCACTCTACAGTTATCTGCATTGTGACCAGTTGTCGATTTCTGTAATGGCTTCACATTGCTGCAAAAAGATCCTTTGGCTTGGAATGAGAGCAAGCGAGGTCCTGGGTCCTAGAGAACCTACGATTGTCATGTTCTTAACCTAATATAATCCCCAGGTGCTTTCTAAATACCTATCCTTAGAGCGGAAGAGCTAAAACTGCTACTTCTGTTTACCCTCCCCTTTCCCTTTAGAATTCTTTCCAATTATATGATGCAGCTTCTTGTTAGGTTGTTTTCATAAACCTAGACACCAATGGTGACCTTGTTAACTTTTTTCTCAAGTCAAATATCTGGGACCTGTACGGGAACTTAATTTCTATGTTTCACATCTATACCTGGAGGGAGAGATGTTATACCATGGCAATAACACCCACACTAATACCCTTTGTGTGGTATACAGAGTTGGTGAGGAGCATAGCTCTGCTCATTTGTATCATCATGTCTGAAAGCAGGCAGAGTAGATGCTTTCGATTCAGTCTCTGACCAAGTGAGGCATTACTATGGCTCAGCAGTGAATAAGAATAACAATAATACAGTAACAGTTTATTGTTTTGAAATAATGTGGTTAAATCTAGATTGTGAGTCAGCAGATTTAGCTTTGAGCTAAATCTGGCGTGGTGCATTTTTGTGTATAGAACTTCCTACCAGCACCCACCTCCATTTATTAGCTACTGTCAGTATCTGTTTCTGTATTGCAATGGCAGAAGAATGAAGTTGGAAAACAGACCATATAGGCTGCAAAGCTATAATACTCTAGTCCTTCACACATATACCATAGCTTCTTAACTGTGATTCTCCATCTCACATGGACTGTTATGAAAATCTTGGCCACATTAAAGGGTTTCTGAACATGAAATGACCACAAGTTAATTCAACACCAACCCTGTAATGAATTTGCGGTGCTTCTTACAGCGTTTGTCCGTGTCACATCACGAGTCATAGCAGCTTTGGTATCGGGCACACTTGTGTACTTTGTACTGTGCTTGTGTGTGCTCATTCCATACAGTGCCAACGGCATGGCCTATAACAGGGCCACTCAGGCATGTGACTATCATATACTACAAGCTGCACTGCTTTTAACTGTATAATCAAAGTTGCATGCTTTTATAGAAACAAATGATTAACCATGAAAAATACGATTTTCCTATCACTGTTCTTCACCATGTAAAAATTACATCTTTGGATTCTACTGTATAAGAATTTGGTCTTTAAAATTATTTTTAGTGACTGGTTTTAGCTTATTGAAAATTATTAAGTAAGTGTTGACTTGGGATTAAAATAGAATTTTCAACAGCTTCTGAAATGGTCCTAAGCATACTCCTGCCACTATGTGTTTTACTCAAAGCAGTATTCTTGGCATTGAAGATTAAATAAAAACATTGATCAACTCTGAAATACTTAGTGAAGGATAAAGCACTACAATCTGAAATGTTTAACCAAGATTCAGTTCTTCCTGTTAAAAGCAACAAACACACTCATGTTATATTATGCAAATTTTTCTTTAGCCTTTCATAAATGGTAAATTTATATGCATAGTAAGCTTTAAAAACATTTATGTATTTGTGTGTGTGTCTGTCTGTGTACTCCCAAGAGTGTGCACAGGCGTACTAGCCTGTGCTTAACGACAAAAACCAGCAAAGAGCATCTGGTGCTCACTCTCCTGCTGTCTCCCGGTTAGCCAGGGTCTCTTCCTGAACCTGGGGCTAAGTGGGAAACTCTGTCAATCCTCCTTTCTCACTTCCTTGAACCTGGAGGTCCAGGCACTCACAGGACTTCTGACTTGTTTCATGGGTGCTTGGATCGAACTCTGGTCATAATTGTGAAACAAGTGCTCTTAACAGCTGAGTTCCCTCTCCAGACCTAAAGAACTGTTTTTAAAATACATTCCTTTATTATTTATTATCAGCAAATATTTGATTCCTATAGCTATTTTATAAATCTATGTACCCAAGGTTTTATTAAAATTCTCAAGTGAAAAGCAGTTACCATTATAAAAAAGTTAATAAGTCCTGCTTATTTAAGTTTTATTTAAGTCTATGTGTGTGGAAAACAAAAGAACACTGATCAGAATTACTTAAGGGAGCTTTGCAAGGTGCACACCACTCTCTATGGGTTGAGGGCCACTAGCTTAAAATTCATGAACTAACTGGTTCACATTTTTTAAAATCACTACTTTTGGCAGTTTAACTCAGACAACATGAAGTTGATTATGTTATTTCTTTTACAGGGCTGTGGAAAGAAAATGTATTCCTTTTTGAGAGGAACCAAACAATTGCAAGTGCTAAGGTTTCTGGGGATCTCCATTGGTGTGACGCAGATCCTGGCCATGATTCTTACCATTACTCTACTCTGGGCTCTATATTATGATCGAAGGGAGCCCGGGACAGACCAGATGCTGTCTCTGAAGAACGAGGCTTCCCAGCACCTACCATGCCACTCTGTGGAACTGTTAAAGCCAAGCCTTCCCAGGATCTTTGAGCACGCGTCCGTGGCCAGCAGCTTCAGCACACACTTCGAGATGGAGGAACTATGAGGAATGCCAAAGAAGGAAGTCACGAAGTTGTGGCATTAGTGAGTTCTGGGTACACAGTTACCTGTTTCAAAAATTTTCAAACACAGGGATATTCTTCAAAAGAATGTCTAAGCACATAATTTCTGCTCTTTCAAACAAAGAAACGTTTGCAGCAGGCTTTCAGACTGTCAGCCCCCCAGGTCAGGACACAGAGAGTTATTAGTTATGAATGCTCTGCCTCATTATATACTTGTCTCACTAGCTCTTATAATTTAATTTAAACTGTTTGACTCTTTCTCTTCCTTTCATTCTGTATGTCCTACTTTTCCAGCTTCTTCTGTGGCTGACTGGCCCTGGGCATCTCCCTCTCTTTCTCTCTCCTTCTCTCTTCTCTTCTCTCTCAAGACTGGATTTCTCTGTTTATTCCCTCTGCCCACCAGTCTTGCCTACCCCCCCCCCGCCCAGCTATTTGCTCTTTAACTTTTCATTAGGTCAACCAGGTGTCTGAGGCAGGCAAAGCAACACATCTTTACATAAACCAATGCTCCTTTACATGGTTAAAGTAATATTCTAGAACAAAGGTTCTGCATGTTAACACACAGACAGTAACTGATGCCCTTGGAAACCATGAGGATAGCTTTAAGAAGCACTGTGTGTGTTTTCTTTTCTTTCTTTTTTTTTTTTTTTTTTGAGCACAATGATGTTTGGAGGTAGCACAGTTTGGCCAGCCAGCATTTCTGCAGGCAGTTGTGGACATGACCCATTCATGGTGGCACTGGAGCTGCTGTGAAGGGTACCTAACTTCCTCTGGCTAGCCTAGAAACTGTCAGCTGTCTGCTAACATAGGAATTTAGTCAGTACTAATGACCTTTATTACCTGATGATGTATTGCTTTGAGGATGATTCGATTATATATAAAAACCTTTCAAGATTGGTGACTACCTAAATATGATTTTTGTTGGTTACTAAAATAATCTTATTAATAATACTTGTAAGAGCTAACACATTGTCTTAAACTTATCAGGGATATATATATATATATATATATATATATATATATATATATATATATGTCTGTGCTGTGTCTGTATAATTCAGTAGATTTCAGTTCTTATAATGTTATGAATGGCAATATTTGAAAATGAAAATTTTGCCTTATATAGCATCATTACTTTTTGTCTTTTCCACCATCAGAGCTTTTAAATTCTGTCTTGGATCTGTATTACATTCGTAACTGTTAATTTAAGTCCTTAACCACTAATTTTGGAAATTACCAGTGTGATACATAAGAATCATTGTAACTCTGGCTGCAGGAAGGATTAACTACGGAATTTACACATAGCTGATTTAGCAGAAATTCGGATGCTCTTTTTCTCCCAAGTGGGGATTCTTCTTGGCAATAAATGCTTTGTCAAGGAGCTTATGTTTTCCTTTTGCAAAATAGAAGCAACAGTCTTGAAGTCGAGGTAATTTTGCAGAGAAACAACATTATCTGCAGAGAGGTGCTCATGGGACTCTCTGAACTAAGTGATAGATTAACTAGAGGGAAGTTTTGCTTTTATTTCACCAATTAATACACCGTGGCAAATTACACAGAATATAATTTTTTTTACAAAAGCAGAGGATATTTATTTGAAATGGGAAAAGTGCATTTTACTGTATTTTGTGTATTGTGTTTATTTCTTGGATTATGGAAAGAAAATTAACACAGGTGTCAATAAACATTTTCTAGAGCATGATGGTTTGTGCTTGTTTATTTCAAGACATGGTCTCACTATGTAGTCCTGTAATATGTGCCCATTTTGATACAAAAGAGCACTTTTATCAGTGAAGAGACTAGCAAGATGGAGGATGAGGATGGTAGGAGCGGGCATGGGGAGAGGCCTGCAGGATTGGAACTGATCCAGCCCACAGTCTCAGGACCATGTTTCTCAACATCCTCTGCCATTCCACCACCATCTTTAGGGACCCCTGAAGTAGATGTTTCGGTTTTGGTTGAAGTGCACCCTTGAGGGAATACTTAAGTAGTCACCTAAAGATGAGCAACTGTGTAAGGAGGAACCACATAACTGGATGAGGATGTCCTCACCTGAGAACACAGCTACAGGCCCTAGCCACAGTGGGCATGGATTTGAAGGCAGAAGCACCTTCAAAGCCCTGTGTTTTGAGCTTTCTTATGCTTCCAGATGTGATGAAGCCTTGGACTCTGGTGGCAGCATCATGAGCAAGTTGTGCAGTGAGGGCCCCAGATCCAGCTGCAGAGGTCCATTCCTTCCTCTAAGAGAAACTGAGTGTTTTTCTGGTGTCTGCCTCCTTCTCTGTGTTCTGTGCTATACCAGGCATCAAGGTATCTTGATGGGTATGACGGCGTTTCTTTAGAGGGTCTTACTTGTCAAGATGTCTGTAGTACTGTCTAGTTTAGTACGGGGAACAGCTAGCCCTCAAAACAACCATGGGGACCTTGGTTGCCCCAAGGGTCAAGCTACTCTCACTCGCTAGCCAGCTACAGAGAGAAGAGAGTGCTGAAAAGTCAGCTGTGGGCCAGCCTGTAGGTGAAGGACAAAAGATAGCCCTTCAGGCACACACACACACACACACACACACACACACACACACACACACACTTTGTCTTGTTTCAAGTCTTCATATCTAAGGACCAAATGCCAGAAGCAGAACAGGTTTTGTGAGGCCTTCATATGTCCCATTTGATCATATATATATATATATATATATATATATATATATATATAAAAAAAATAAAAATATATATATATATATATATATATATATATATATATATATATGTGCCATACAAGGGTTGGGGTGGAGTGTGTTACAAAGTATAAAATAAAGTCTACACTTCTCCTTCAAATGACTGGATACAGTATTACTAATTTGCAAACTCAGTAACTTTTTCAGCATCTTCACTGAAAAGAGCTGTCTTTGTTTTTCTGGTTTATATGTTAGATAAGTAATAGTGTAATTTGATGCAAAAGCATGCTCACTTCTGTTAGTTTATCATTCCAGTCCCTCCACATTGAAGATTTTGTGTGTTGTTGTCAATTTGTAAAAGGAAAAGAGTGTTGTCGGGTTGCTACATGCCTATAACCTCCACCTCTTGGGGAAAGAAGCAGGAAAGACCACTTAAACCCTCCAGCTCGAGGCCAGTCTGGTCAGTAACGAGAGGCTCTGCTCTTGAGAGGAAAGAGGAAGGAAGAACAGGATATGGAGTTATATAAAAGATGAAACCCCAATAAATCACGTCCTCCAACTTCACCTCTGACACCCAAATAATGAACAAAGCTATGCTTTTCGCCCGGACTGTTTAGATAGCTGTGAAGTCCGGCTGCATCTCTTTTGATGTATCGCACGGTCATAGAACATGCTTAGCTTATGTTGAGCGGAGGGGGAAAACACCAGTCTTCGAATTATAGGAATTGACTTTTTAAAACAGGTATTTTGATGTATTACCCGCTTTAGTGCCCTCTAGACTAGTCACCATAAATTTAGACAATCATCTTCTGTATAATACATTTGCTTAATGGGAACAAATGACATTTATAGCCGAGGTCCACAAAGGCCTCTTATGGTAGCAGTGCACCTGGAATAATAAAACTGCAAGGAACTTTACAAAGCGCATTCAATGCTGGAGAGCTGAGGGACGGCTCTGTTTGGGTACAGTGGGGGAAAACTGTTAACTCTGTCTTTGGCAGCTTTTAAAAACCTTTTTACTATTTATTTATTTATTTATTTATTGATTTATTTATTTATTTTGTAAAATCACAAGTTTTAAAGTAAAACATTTAAGAGATTATTTTTAGATTGGTTTAACAGGCCATTCAAAGCCCTCCTGAGACCCGGAGAAGGCAATTAGAGATGATGTTTGTTGTAAAACTGATAAAGTCTGCGTTAGAGATGCTTGTGATAACCCCAGGAAAAGTAAATAAAGGTGTATGCAGTGAGCATGGTTGTCCTGAGCAGGGAGAGGAGGAAAGTGGGGGGGCGGCGGTTGGACCAGGCTAATGGTCCTCGAGCAGAGTAGAGAGAGAAGGAGGAGCAGGATGCTCATGGCAATGACTCCACGAGCCAAGGCTCTGAGCTTTAAATAACTGTGCATGGGTTTGAGGCTATGACCTGTGGTCCACTGCGACTGCACAGCTTGGAATGCTGGAATGAACACCCAGGGAAAGCCAGTGGGTGAAATGTGGGCTTAGAGCTTTGTTCTGTAGATTCCCATGTTAAGCTGCTGACGTGTTTTCAGAAGAGGAAATGCATGACTCAGACCTTCCACTGTTTCATCCAAGCAAGAGGGATGGGGCCCGGGGAACAGGTGCAGCCATCCTGCCAGTCCCTGGGGACAAGGGATGCTTTGCTCTGCTCTAGTGAGGTGAAGATCTCTGGAGCTTCAGCTCTGCCCACTTGTGGAGAGAAAGAAAGACCCTCCACCAGAACGATGGAATCACAGAGCTCGGGGCGCATAAACCAGACCGACCATTATAGTGTGGATCAAGGGACAGAGTCCATAACATGGACTAGACGTCTACAGTGTGAATACATGCAGGTTAGCAGCAGGTTGGCATTGGGGTTACGGGATGGAAAATAAAAGAACCAGTATTTCTAGATTTTATAACGGGGAAGTTGGCAATGGTGTTAACCTAGAAGGAAGGCTATGCAGAACGACAGTGTGGCAGGGTCACTAATTTGGTTTCGGATGTACTGAGTTAGAGATGCCCGCATGACATGCAGATGGAGAAGTCTACAGGCAGCTGTAAACTCCAGGCCATCACTGAGGAGAATTCTCTGTGGAGCCTGAGAACTTTTATGCATTGCGTTCCCATTTTCGGAAGGCTGACAGAAAATGGGCTGAGGACCAAATCTCATGAAGAGACTCTTAAACAGGGTGCTACCACAGCTTCTCTTCGTCTGAACTCCTGTTCCTACAGATGTGTCAAAGGAGGTAAAGAAATGAGAACTAAAACTACCGACTCTTCAGTGACAAAGAGTCTGCCTTTAAAAATATCCTGCCAGCTGCCATGTTGCTTGGCACCCGCGTTCGTTCATTCATATGATCCTGTGATTTAAAAGTGCGTTTTCCTTTCCTACGAGCACAGTTCCTTACCCGAGCAAATCCCAGAAGAAAGACATACGGAAGAATCTCGAACATCTCCTTGAATGTTCTAATGCTTTCCATTTTAATATGGTAATTGCAGGCTTCTGTGCATTCATTCATGGGAGCCTCCGAGGTCCCAAACACGCATTTGCCCTCTTCTCCACGGTTATTTTCCACTTTGTATGCATCATTAGTTCCATTTTGCCAACAAAGAAGAGCAACTTAGACGACTGATTTAGTACACACCGACAAAGCAGCACCCTGATTCCCGGCTCTGCATGTTGTTACACAGGGTCTTTATCACTGCGGCGAGGCGAGGCTTCTTCCTCCAGTGAGAAAGCCAGACCCTCCTGCACGCAATTCAGTATATTCAGGCACAATTGTCCTTTAAAGTCTTCCTTCAGAGCAGCCTCTTTATCCATGTAATTTCAACCCCCCTACTATCCAGGGTAAGTCCAAATCGCATGAAGTCTTGGCAGATGTCACATAATTCTTGGTCTCTCTTTCCACTGCTGCTCTCCTAGTACACTCTATCTCGTACACTCAAGCAGATCCAAGTTCATTTCCATAGTCAGCTTTCCCGCGGTGTCTGTAACATCCCTGTCTTAGTACATATACAGCATGCTAACCGTTATGGAACCATATCCATGGTCAAGAAGAGGCAGAGCATCAGTACTGTCTCAGACAGGCTTCTTTCTGCTCTCTCGTAAACCCAGCAATTCATATTCCTAGCCTCAGTCAACATGATCCTGCCAAATGACACTCACCCACAGGGCCCTTATTTTCAGGAAGACACGACCATCTAACTCAGTAGCATGCATACCATTTATAACTCACTATGGGATAAATGGAGGTCAGAGGTCATTAGTTATGCCAAGAAGACTTGTCTTCTTCACACCACCATTATAAGAAAGCAATGGCTCAATCCATGCACTGGTGTCTTGTGTTAGAGTGCGCAAACGACTAACCTGCTGTACGAAATAGGAGAGCAGTACACTTTAGGAAGCACAAATGTGAATAGTAGCCCCAAGTGTGGCAGCCAGATGATGCTGTTCTCTTCTCGTCTGCTGGCGTTCCCAGCTCACACAGTCGCACTGCAGGAAGTGTGCATCACTTCCACGCGTACAGTCCATGCATCAGAGAGGCTGGTAAACCGCCATCGTTCTGGGCACCCGTGCATGCAGCTAACTGGGAAACTGCATGGCCATTCTTCAGCCTCTACAGAATAAAGTCTTCCATTTGTAACCGTTTTCATAAATGAAAACTTTAATGCTTTCTTACACAGCCTGGACAGTCATGATCAATTCAAAGTCTGTAATATGCTATGTGCCCTAGGTCTTCTTGATTTTGGTCACATCATGGACTTCCCTAACATACTTTATCTTTACCTGTATGGCTCAGATAGGAAACCAATTCTTCTATGAAATGTCTTTTCCATGACTGCTGTAAGCCTCTCTCAATTCTGTCTAAATCGGTGTTCTGCATTTTGTATTACACTTGTATTGTTTTTTTTTACTCGTCTGAATTCTGTTGACAAAAATTATGTTTTTATTATTTCTTCTCAGTATATGAATGCATAGGCCCAGGTATATTTCTGATATTTCATTTGTAAGTTTATTTGCTATATGT